ATATCTACTACTCTCCTCTTACTTTTTATGGAAAAGATTTGCAGACCCTTGAGTTAGCTAAAGTTAAATGAAGTCTTTGGGGAGAGGAAAGGGTTGAGACTTGGTCTTGTTCTGTGGTCCAGACTGGCTTTAAACTCACTGCCCCCCCAAAAGTTTTCATATGGAAAACAACAGACATAGGTAGTTTTTTGGGTGGTTTCCACAAAACCTCAAAGAAACATGGTCTAATATTAGAAAGTCCATTAATACATTAACAATTTAAACATTAAAAAGAAATATTATCAATAGACGCCTCAAGTGTAAATATTTCTTTAAATTTATAGCAAGTGAGGAAACAGGTGACTATTTAGTGGTGAAACGTTAGAAGCATTGCATTCTCAGGAGTGAGAGGGGTGCCCCTAATCACCATGCCTGTAACTCATTGTTCTGCAAGTCCTACCTAGCTGGTTTAAGAAGCAAGAAACAGAACCAGAAGTGGAAAAACCCAACTCACATTCTCAGGTGATGTGGCTGTTCAATCCACATCAGTCCTGAGTTCAATCCCCAGTACAGGGGAAAAAACAAAACAAAACAAAACATGAAACCACTTTTTTTTTTTTGGTACCAGGGTTCGAACTCAGGACCTTGTGCTTGTGACGCAGGCATGGTGCCACTGACCTAAATCCCTGGCCCAGTTTTCAGTTTTTTTTTTTTATATTAACCATTAATTATGTTGTAGATACACAAGGAAACAATTGGGAGGCCACATAGGACATACTCTGGAGAAGAGGTGGGTAGAAGCAAGGCCAGGCCAGGTGGGAAGTGGGCTGAGCCCCATATGGGTGAGGGCAGAATGTGGGTGTCAAGAGAGGGGATGCTCAGGGGAGAGGGATAGGAGGTCTTAGGCCCAAGGAGAGCACTCAGAAGAGATGTCCCCCAGGTGGAAGGACGTGTGGGAGGGGCCTGGGCTGGTCTGAGCATCCCGAAGCTGATGGGTGGAGTCACAGGCAAAGCCAGGATCACTCAGGTTTGTGGTGACAAGTGGCCAGAAATTGTGACCTAAGTCATCCTGAATTGTACACTGGCATTTTTGTCATCTGCTCTATGTTGTGTCTCCTCTTCCAAGGGCATAAGGAGGTGACCATGCCTGCCTGCCATTGCCACTGACCCTAAGTGTGTCCTCCTCCTGCCAAGCATCCTTTTGTGTCCTGGGCTGTGGCCACAACCCCAGCCTTCTGGTACTGGGGATCAAACTCGGGTCCTTGTGCTTGCAAAGCAGGCAGTGGAACCACTGAGCTAAATCCGCCCCCCCCCAGCCCCCTTTTGAGCAAGAAGGGAATATGTGAGCCCAAGTCATTTTGTCTCAGAGCAGTTTACTCAGGGGCAGGGGCACGAACAGTCCTGACTACTTCATGTTTTGCCCCATCCTATCCCACCATGCCTTCTCCACATGCAGGTCCTGACAGCTGGTGCACTGTTCACTGGAGCCTGGGACCCACATGGCCCACCTCCCCCCAGACAAGGGACGGGCTCATGGGTGCTGCAGGTAGCAGGAGTCAGACACCAGTTTCACCTGGTGGTCCAGGATCTCTGGGGACATGGACAGAGGTGACTCTCGGAGGACAATGCACCAGGTCTGCACTCAAGCCCCCTTTATTTCCTTCTGTCCTGTGCTGTGTGTGTGTGTGTGTGTGTGTGTGTGTGTGTGTGTGAGAGAGAGAGAGAGAGAGACAGAGACAGACAGACAGACAGACATCTACCAGGCACTCTGCCACTCAGAGCATCGACTCCTTTGTCCCTTCAGCCTGAGTCCTTTGCAGTGTAGCAGGTGTTGCCGCAGCCAGAGCCTTATATGGTCACTGGGAGAGCGGAGGAGACTAAGTGAGCGGCAGAGAGCACAGAGGGTGGGAAGTGGCATTATTATTCATGATCTCAGTGCATTTCCCAACCTTTGCCTGGCAGGGTGGGTGCTACCATCCCCTCTGCTTCACACATGAGCCGCTTGGTTCAAGGTGACCTGGACACATGGCCAGCAGGGGAGGCCTGACACATGGTACGGTCCCCACCTGCCAGACGCAGGGCTGGGTGATGTCACCCTCCCCTCCCCCACCCGGAATCCAGACTGGAAATGCTGGGCTGGGGTTTGTCCTGGAAGCTGCCAGGGCTGGGGGAAAGGACCACTTGGCTTCACAGGAGACCCCAGGATAATTAGGGTCATCCTAGTCTCTGGGTGCTGGGTGGCTCCAGAGTCTCATCTGCACCCAGGTTCTCCTGCAGACACCCTAACTTTCCTAACAGGTCTGTGCACACTGTCACCCCTCCCTAAGGAGCCAGGGTCACAATGGATCAGTGACTTTCCAGGTTCCAGCAAATGGCGTGTGGGCGTGGAGGATGCAAGTCACAATCCCAGGATCCCTTCCACACTGGGGGATTGTGGGACACGGCAGCGTGGCAGGTCTTCTGGCTGGCACAGGAAACACTATGCTTGGGGGTGGGAAGCCCGGCGAGATGCAGCACCATGGGGTGGGGACTGGGACTCTGCCATCTCCACCCTTGCCAACTTGCCCTGGGACCACGCAGGTCCCCAGGCTCTTGGGTGGGCACTGCCAAGGTGGCCTGGGCCTGACCAGCTGGCTGGCCAGCAGAAGCTGGCTGTCAAGTAGGCCAGCTGGCAGCTGCCCAGCCATCTCTTTAAAGTGAGTCTGCATTTCTCTGTTCACATTCATCTGGAATTACTGTCGTCCTGTAAGGGAGCAGCCTGGTTGTTTTCCCGAGACTTTGAGTTCTCCTGCCATCCCTCCTCCTTACACCTGTCTTCATCATGTTCTTCCCATCCTCTCCTCAAAGATTCATTCTAATTTATTCTAACTTGTGGGTCAGACCCACGGCTTCATTTCTGTTTTCAAGAATGGCTGTTGTTTCTGGCTCTCAGGTTGGTTTTGTTTTTTTAGCTGCATCCCCACACCCTTTTCTTACCCACCCCTTTTTAAAAATTTTGAAATATTGTCTCTCTACCTAAGTTGGGTCTGAATTTGCGATCCTCCTGCCTCAGTCCCCCAGAATGCTGAGATTATAGGTGTCTCAAGAGTGCTTGAGTGGGGCTGGGTTAGCTCAGTGGTTCTTCCTCCTGCCTTGCAAGCACAAGGACTGATCCCTGATGCCCCCTGCCCCAAAGAGTGCTTAAGTGTCTCAGGAAGTCCCGACAGAGGCGCTAACTTAAGTGCAACATTTGCCCCAAAAGGCTAAAAAAGCCCTATCAGGCAGGGGTCCAGGGCCCTTTATGAGAGACCATGGCAGGTGCACCCTTGCCCTGCTGCACAGCACCAGCCTGTGGTCTGGAGTCATCATGCATCCGGGTGACAGGGACCCACCAGATTTTGGTTTCTGCACTAAGAGTCCCCAAGTCATTTTTTCCAACACTAACTTAAGTACAGAAAGGAAGAGGCTAAGCTTTTCCTCCTTCAAATTGCTGAGGGGTTAACAGGAACCTACACCATTAACACTCGGGGGCCCAGGCAACAAGTGCCACGTGGCCAGGCCCAGGCACATAAAGGATGTGGAGGGACGAGTGTCAACTCAGACACTAGCAGATGCCAGGAGACCAACATTCCAAGTCCACCTGCAGCCAAGACAGGAATAAAACAAAAACCATAACCTGAGAAACGTGATAGTCCTGAAGCTAAGAAAAGAGCATGACAGAAGATAACGTGATGACACCACAGAAGCTCTGGGGCACAGGAGAGTGGGACGGAGCAGACGGGCCGTGGCCATTGGAGGGACAGGAGCCACTTGGGGAGATGGTGTCATGCTGGTATGGCACGGGGAAGGGGACCTGGAATTAGTCCTAAAGGGCTGGGCAAGAGGCAGGAAGTCTAGCCCTGCAGGTACTGAGGAGCTCAGGGTTTGGGGACCAGGGGAAGGCAGAGAAGAACTCAGCCTGAGCCTTCATCGGCCACATGCTGTGTGCTGACAACGGCTGGAGGAGAAATCTGACAGCAAAGGCGGCCCTATCCCCACCTCAGACATGTGCTCTGGCCTGACAAATGAGCACCTAAGCTTCGGCCAGACACAATGGTACATTTAACTACTCACCAGGGCTTGACCTCATCAAAGGGACTGAAAATGAGCTAGCAGCACTCACTAGGGCCTAAACCTGCAATTAAATTTCTGTGAGAAAGGAAGTCCCAAGCTGGGTGCGGTGGTGCACACCTATAATCCCAGCACTCAAAAGGCTGAGGCAGGAGGATCATGGAGAGTTGGAGGCCAGTCTGGGCAACATAATGAGTTCAAGACCAGCCTCAGCTACTTCAAGAGACCCTGTCTGAAAACAACAAAAAAGGAACTCCTAACAGAGGCACCGACCTAAGTGTTATCTCTTGGGCAGGGACCAGGGAACAAGCTACCAGCTGGGCACAGGGGATGCTTCCTTCAAGGGGGTGGGCACTGGTGGCACCAGGGCCAAGGCCCCAACCTCCTTCCAAGTCATTGTTCCTGGGCTCTCTCGAAGTCCGGTACCATCCCAATCCTCTTGGGTGGAGCTGGCAAGGAAGGTTCAGCCTCCACAGGGACACACGGGCCCCATGTTCCCTGGGAAGCCTGGCAGGCCAGGTGCCAGGCAGGGAGAACCCTCAGGTCTCAGCCTCTTCAGACCCAGTGATGTGGAGCTCAGCCAGGAACTGGGTGGAGCTGGCCAGTTTTGCAAAGCTCATTCCAGGGACTGGAGACAGTGTTGGGGGTGGGGTGAAAGATGGGGAACCGTCTCTATCGACAGCCTTATGAAAGAGGGAACAGAGAAGCAAAGAAAAACTTGGCCTTCCTCTGGGCCACAGTCCGGGTGTCCTGTCCCAGGCCTGTCCCTCCCCTATATCCCAGCAGCCTATCTGAGGCTGAGGGGTACCAGCCCATTCCCAGACCAGGCCCATCCTGGAGAGTTCGAGCTAGGTCAGGTTCATGCCGGGTCAGTCTGCCATGTCCTACCCTCTTCTCCAAGGCACTAAGCGCTGGCCAGAAGACATGGGGAGCCATGGAGAAAAAAAATTTATTTAATCAAAGAGCCTCAGAAGGCATCTGGCTTGTGTCGAGTATAAAAAAGGCAGTAAAATGGCAACTGTACAGTGCGCATGATGGGTAGGGACAAGGCGAGGGCAGAAAGGAGAAAGGTGGGGAAAACTGAAATCAGACCATACAAAGGTCAGTCCTGGGCCCCAGCCACCCGTGACACAGGCAGACAGACTGACAGAAATAAAACACAGGCGTGTGTCTGTGGGACCCACGCCTCTCCCGTCAGACCCACTGGTCAGAGCCCACTCCCCCTCTGACTCTGGGCGCACAACCTTGATGTCTGCCCGCTTGGGCCCCCTCCCCAGGCTTGGACAGCCGAGCCCTGCGAAGAAGAAAGCAGGAGTTGGCAGGAGAGACAAGCAGGCGCACTGTGCGTTCCCCACAGGAGATGAGGGGCGGGAGGTGTGTGGGCCATGCAGTTCTCAGCCCACCAATGTCACACAATGGCCCGGAACAGGAAGGAGAAGACAGCTCCCAGCGCCAAGCCCAGGCACAGGAAGAAGGCCATGATGGCGCCGGCAGTCTCCGCCTCAGCTGGCTTTACTTTCCTGGAGGAAGGAGGGTGACACTTCCTGAGCACTGCCTGAAGCGCCCAATCCTGCTGACCACCTCTCCCTCGGGGCACAGGTTCCCCACAGCAAGCCTGGGCCTCCCAAGGATGCCCCCGGCCCAGGGCAGCTCCTTTCACCCTCTCCAGCTCTGCCAGGGTCCCATGGCACTCCAGGCCCCATCCCACACACTCACTTGGGTCCGAAACACATGCAGAGGCTGGCAAGGTAACCATTGGAGAAGGCGAAGGCGGACATGAAGAGGATGTACCAGGCATCATGCTCGAAGAACACACTCATGTAGCGGCGTGGCTGGACGTTGCACAGCATCAGGAGTGGCACAAACACCAGCCGGGCCACCACCAGGCTCGGCAGCCAGCGGCTATCCTTCCCTGGCTATGGTCACAGGAATGGCCTCAGCAAGGGTGCAGGCCCCACAGCCCCATCAAGGCCCTCTGGATATACATGAATTATGTCTGAACTTTTTTTTGGGGGGGGAACCGGGGATCGAACTCAGGACCTTGAACTTGCAAGGCAGGCACTGTGTGACTGAGCTAAATCCCCGGCCCTTTTCTGAACTTTTAAGATACTCTGCTGCTAGATGTGATGGTGCATGCCTGTCATCCAGGTACTCAGGAGGCAGAGGCAGGATGGAAAGTTTGAATCCCATCCCAGCCAATATAGTGAGACTATCTCAACATAAAAAATAAAATAAAAAAAGAAAAAGGGCCGGAAATGAGCTCAGTGGTAAAGCGTTTGCCTAGCATCATGTGCAAGGCTTTGACTTCAATTCCCAGTTTTGCCCCTCCACTGCCAAACAGGGTCCCCTCCACTCTTTGTCGAGCTCCCTTTCCATGCCTCAGGCTGGACCCTTCCTCCCACAGAGGCCCGGTGTTCCCCCACTCACCCACATGAAGACGGCTGTGAGACTCCGGCCCAGCCAGTCAAAGATATTGAAGATCAAGAAACAGGACACCGGGCTGAAGTATTTTGCTAAAGAGGTGGGAGAAGCAGCCTGGCATCTGAACCTCCTGGGATCAGCATCCCCAAATGCACGATGGAGAGGGCACTTCTGGCCCTGGAAAGGGCAGCTGAGCCGAAGAGAACCCGGGCTCCTCTCCACCCCATGCCGGTCCTGTGTGGGCTCTTAGTCCCATCCTGGAAACCCAAGCATCCTCACCCCAGTCGCTGTTGCCTGCAATGCTGGACTTGACCTCTGCAGTCACAGAGGGAAACAGCCCGATGGTGATGGTGAAGATGAAGCAGACGGAGAGGGCCAAGACAGAGATCTGGAAGGAGGGGAGGTCTCACCCAGGGCTCTGCACCTCCACAGTGGCTATCCGTAAGGAGCCAAACACGCCCGCACAGGACTGGGGTGCACCCAGGATCAGCTCAGAAGGGAGTAGGCGGAAGAGGGAAGGCAAATACAGGGAGAGAAGGCAGGTGGGGACAGAGGGAACACCTGGCCACGTACATCTTTGAGGATTTCCCGGATGGACTGGCTTTGGCCAGTGGGCTGGGAGCTGGGAGCTAAGACCACAGGTTCCTCCTTGCCTGCTCGTGGCTCCTCCCCTGGTGGATGAGAGGCTACGGAAGGATCTGCATGGTGGGCAAGACAGAGCAACAGGGGCAGTTAGGTCCCCCTTAACCCAGTCATAGATAGCCCTGTCTTGACAACTCTCTTAGAGCCCCCAATCCTTCGGGGATCCAGGAGGCGCCAGAAGCCCCAGGACATGTTACCTAAAATCACTTCCCAGTACCTTTGAACCAAGGGCTCATCCAGGGTCCCCCATGTGTCCTCCCAGCCCTTATTTCCTGCAGTCCCATCCCCAGCCCTGTTCCCTTTGCTCTGCCCTGGGTCACGGCTGCAACTAAGACAGTGTACCCATCTGTGCTCAGCATGCCACCCAACCCGGCCTCCTCAGGCTCGAGACCTTTACTGATGAGGTCCAGCTTGGTCTCTTGCTCCCCTGGGCCCTCGAGCTTGAGTTGCTGGTAGTAACGGTAGAACTCCTACCAAGCAAAGGGGACAGGAAGGTGACACTGCCAGCATTCCAGCCTCCCCCAGGAGGGTCTAGAACCCTGGACACCCCTGCCATCCCTAAACCCCAGCTTCCCCCTCCACTCACCAGCCGGGGCAGGGCCAGGTAGCAGAGGATGGTCAACACAATCACCACACAGGCTGTGATGAAATAGCCAAAGGCACTTTCCGCCAGCTCCGAGCCACCTGGGGGCGGGGCCCGGGATCAGAGATTGTCCATCCCCTTCCCTCCACATTCCACCCTGGGTGACAGGCAGAGGTCAGGACTCACTGGCGATAGCACAGATCATGGCGACCGAGGCGAAGCAGCCCGCCAGGCCCTGGCCACTCATGATGGGGGCCGTGTAACTGGCGGGCAGGAGGCCGGCAAGGCCAAAGAGACTCCCTTGCAGGATGGCACCAAACGCTGAGGATAGACGGGGTGAGCGTTAGTCTCCGGGACTCCTGCTGCCCTGGGTGGGTCCTCGCTGGCCCCCCAGCCCCACCCCCCATCTCCATGGCCCAACCCAGCTTACAGTTGATGAACATGATCTTGATCATAGTGAGAACAAAGAAGGGAAGAGCGTCCATCTGCACCTTCACTATGACGGCGGTGACCAGGAACACCAGCAGGATGGCCATCAGGCTGCCCAGGATCCGCACGGACTGGGGGATCCTGCAGAGGGAGAGGTCTCAGGGGAGCTGTGGGCTGGCAGGCTGCACCCAGGGGGGGCGCAGGAGGTGGGGGCCACACTCACCTCTGGTGCAGGAAGGAGTTGAGGCAGGTGAAGAGCAGCAGAGGCAGCATAGCGCACAGGGTCATGACGTTGTTGAAGATGCCACTGAGGGTGTTCCGCTCTGGCAAGGCCGCTGCAGGGGCCGCTGAGGCTTGGGTGTCCATGCTCAGCTCGGTGGTGGCAGAGGAAGCATTCTGGGGCCCTTCCAGGCGGGTTGTGAAATACTGTGCAGGTGCAGGAAGGAGCGTTGGAGCCTGCGGCTTCTCCTGACACCCAGGGCACTCGCCATCCCCCTAGCTGGTTCCCAGCCTCACCCGAGTGGCTGTCATGAAGAAATTCCAGGGAAGCAGCGTCCCCAGGCCCAGCATGAAGAAGATAAGCCAGACAGCTTTGTAACTGGGACGAGAGGAAGAGAGACCAAGTCACCCACTACCCATCCCTCTCCCTGCCCTTGGTTCCCAGCTGGCCCAGGGCACAAAGCAGCCATGCCATCATCCCATGGGGTGGTGTGTGCAGGTCCTGGCACAGGATGAGCTGGAGGGAAAGGGGCCAGGGACACGGGACCTCAGTTCTTAGTCCCTGGGGACACTGCACACTGGGACACCCTCATTCAGGAGACACTCTGGAACCCAGAGGGCCGGTGGGGGAATGAGGGACAGCAGACACTGGGCAGGCTGGAGGGACGGTATGTCTGGGTAGGATCTTCGTGTGGGCTCCCTGAGGCAGCTCTGAGATTGAGAAGCCCCCAGACAGCTCTGGCCCCAGAGGGGTGAGGGAGGGAGTCTGGGAAGTGAGAAGGCCTCACTTCTTTCTCCTGGTCCAGACAGCACTGCCTGTGCAGGTCACAGTTCCTAGGGAAGACGGGGAGGTCTGGGCCACCAGATGCCACGCAGGTCCAGTGTAAATGCGGGCCACACAATTCTGACCAGGTCCTGTCCCCTAGGAAGGCTTTTGCTTATGAGCTCAGCGACTCGGTCTCTGCCACCAGTCTCTACATGGAGATACCACACCCTCCCCAAGGCAGAGGAGCCAGGTCTGGCCAGGGTGTGGGCCCTTGGACTCCTGGGCCTCACGAGGGGAGGGGCTCAGTGAATGCCCTAGTGGGCAGACCCCAAAGCCCTCATAGGTCCCAGTGGGGTAAAGACACCGAGGCTGGAACACAGGCACAACTCCCAGGCAAGGTCATGCACAGGGTCGGGGCAGCTGGGAAAACAGAGCAGTCCAACTAGGTGTCAGAGAGGGGACTGGGCGGGGCAGCAGGCAGTGTGGGAACAGAGAAGGCAGAGGGTGCCAGAGCCTGCATTGCTCAAATACTCTATCTCCAAACAGCCTGTAGAATTTTTTTTTTTTTTTTCCCAGTACTCGGGCTTAAACCAGGTCTTTCGCATTGAACTACATCCCAAGCGTTTTCATTTTGTAGAGACAGTCTTGTTAGGTCACTAAATTCCCCAAGGGGGCTAGAATTTGCAATCCTGTCCTACCTTCCCAGAGTGCTAGGACCACAGGCATGTATTCCCATGCCTGGTTTGAGTGGATATTCTTGCTTCTATTCTGCAGAAAGGGAAATAGGTTCAGAGAAATCAAGCTAAACGCTCCAGACCCTACAGCCAGGGCTTCCTGGTAGAGTGATTGCCGAGCAGGCGTGAGGCCCTGGGCTCTACCCGGGCACTATGGCAGTAGTGGGTCACAGTCAGATGTGCCCTAGTTTCATAGCCTTTGGCAAAAGAGGGACCTGGCATGGGCAGGGAGGCTGTGAAGGCTTTGGGGCCTGAGGGGGCAGGAAGAACAGGGCCTGACACTGGAAAGTGTCATGGCTTTGCCAACTTTCTGGGTCCTGTTGGGAGAACTTGAGTCAGCTCAGCCTCTCCCTCCAAAACACACATTCCCTGTCCTAACCGCAGGTCTGGCGGGAGGGCTTCCAGGGCCGGGAAGAGGAGGAAGGTCCAGCAAGGGCTGAGGTGATCTGGGGTTACAAGAGGTGGAGGGCCCCAGCAGGCCCAGGAGACTGGGCAAGTCCTTCCAGATGTGCTCTGGAACAAGGGGTGCTGCCAAGTGTCTCCCCGAAGCTAAAGTGAGAGGATCCTGGCTGCAGAGCAACACTGGAAACACTGACAGGCAGACAGCAACTGCTGCCACCCACCCTGCCCTTCCTGGGCATGCTGGGGACAGCAGCCAGCACCCCACAGAGGCATGAATGCTCCCCAGTCTGATGCAGACCTCAGAGCCATTTGGCCAGAAGGCCGGTCGGAAGAGGCAACCCTGAGTCCCAAAGGACACAGCACCCAGAGCTTTGGAGAGCCGTGCCCTGGATGCCCACCCCATCCCTCCTCAGTCCCAGTACCTGTCCTGTGGCTTGTGACTGGTCGTCATGGTGCCGGTGCTCTGGACTGTGCCTGGCCGACAACAGCTCCCTCCCTGAGGTGCTTGCTGAGGGCAGAGGCACAGTGAGGCCCTGCTTCTTTCAGTCCTGGCAGACAGGAGAGGAGACGCAGGGCGGTGGGTGGAGGAGCCCCCGACCCCCAGGCCCTGCCCTTGGTGATCACCCCATAGGACCCCTGCCC